GGTCTATATTCACTTTGGCCAATAAAAGCAGTGGTCCATAAGACGTAAGAACAGAAGTAGGTCATTCAGCCCATCGAGTTTATTCTGCCATTCAATGGTATCATGGCTGATCTGATAATACTCAACTCCTTGGTTCCCTTACTGATTAAAAATCTGTCTACCTCAGGCTTGAATATACTTAATGGCCCAGTCTCAAAAGCCCTCTGTGGTAAAGAATTCCACAGATCAACATATCAATCCCACAATGTGCTTTTCTACAGTCAGAAAGGTATTCATGCATCACTGCTCTCTGTTTCATGCCAATTAACCAATTATTTTGTTCATGCTGTCACTGTACTCTTTATGTTACGGACTTTAACATTTCTGGCAATTCTGTTATGTGGCACTTTATCAATTTTAATCATAGAACCATAGAATCCCTACAATGTGGAAACAGGCCCTTTGGCCCAACAAGTCCACACTGGCCCTAAGAGCGTCCCACCCAGACCGATCACCCTACAACCCACCTAATCTACGCATCCTTGAGCACTATCGATAATTTAACATGGCTAATCCACCTAGCCTGCACTTCTTTGGACTGTGGGAGGAAACTGGAGCACCCAGAGGAAATTCACATATACCACTTCAATCTTTTCTTTAATTAACAGCACAATGCTTTTCTAGACCAAGTTTCAAAATAATGCTCAAGTTAAAGTTATATAGCAGAGATGGTAGGAACTGCAGATGCTGGAGAATCTGAGATAACAAGGTGTAGAGCTGGATGAACACAGCAGGCCAAGCAGCATCAGAGGAGCAGGAAAGCTGACGTTTCGGGCCTAGACCCTTCTTCAGAAATGGGGGAGGGGAAGGGGGTTCTGAAATAAATAGAGAGAGAGGGGGAGGCAGATAGAAGATGGATAAAGGAGAAGATAGGTGGAGAGGAGACAGACAGGTCAAAGAGGCGGGGGTGGAGACAGTAAAGGTGAGTGTAGGTGGGGAGTTAGGGAGGGGATAGGTCAGTCCAGGGAGGACGGACAGGTCAAGGGGGTGGGATGAGGCTAGTAGGTAGGAGGTGGAGGTGGGGGTGGGGGTGGGGCTTGAGGTGGGAGGAGGGGATAGGTGGGAGGAAGGACAGGTTAGGGAGGCGGGGACAAGCTGGGCTGGTTTTGGAATGCGGTGGGGGGGTGGGGAGATTTTGAAGCTTGTGAAGTCCACATTGATACCATTGGGCTGCAGGGTTCCCAACCGAAATATGAGGTGCTGTTCCTGCAACCTTCAGGGGCATCGTTGTGGCACTGCAGGGGGCCCAGGATGGACATGTCATCGAAGGAATGGGAGGAGGAGTTGAAATGGTTCGCGACTGGGAGGTGCAGTTGTTTAGTGCAAACCAAGCGTAGGTGTCCCACAAAGCGGTCCCCAAGCCTCAGCTTGGTTTCCCCGAGGTAGAGGAGGCCACAACGGGAAGAGCAGATACAGTATACCACATTAGCAGATGTGCAGGTGAACATCTGCTTGATGTGGAAGGTCTTCTTGGGGCCTGGGATGGGGTCGAAGGGGGAGGTATAGGGGCAGGTGTAGCACTTCCTGTGGTTGTAGGGAAAAGTGCCGGGTGTGGTGGGGCTGGAGGGGAGTGTGGAGCGGACAAGGGAGTCACGGAGAGAGTGGTCCCTCCGGAAAGCAGATAAGGGTGGGGAGGGAAAAATGTCTTTGGTGATGGGGTCGGACTGCAGATGGCGGAAGTGTTGGAGGATGATGCATTGGATCCGGAGGTTGGTGGGGTGGTACGTGAAGACGAGGGGGATTCTTTTTAGGTGGTTATTGCGGGGACGGGGTTTGAGGGCTGAGTTGCGGGAGATACGGTCGAGGGCGTTCTCGACCACTGAGGGGGGGAAGTTGCGGTCCTTGAAAAACGAGGACATCTGAGATGTACGGGAGTGGAATGCCTCATCCTGGGAGCAAATGCGGCGGACGCGAAGGAATTGGGAATAGGGGATGGCATTTTCGCAGGAAGGTGGGTGGGAGGAGGTGTATTCTAGGTAGCTGTAGGAATCGGTGGGTTTGAAATGGATATTGGTTTCCAGGTGATTGCCAGAGATGGAAACAAAGAGGTCCAGGAAGGAGAGAGAGGTATCAGAGATGGTCCAGATGAACTTAAGGTTGGGGTGGAAGGTGTTGGTGAAGTGGATGAACTGTTCGAGCTCCTCGTGGGAGCAGGAGGTGGCGCCGATACAGTCATCGATGTAACGGAGGAAGAGGTGGGGTTTAGGGCCAGTGTAGCTACAGAAGAGGGATTGTTCCATGTAACCTACAAAGAGGCAGGCATAGCTTGGTCCCATGTGGGTACCCATGGCCACCCCCTTTGTCTGTAGGAAGTGGGACGAATTGAAAGAGAAATTGTTAAGGGTGAGGACGAGTTCGGCTAGGCAGATGAGGGTGTCAGTGGAGGGGGACTGGTCGTGCCTGTGGGACAGGAAGAAGTGGGGGGTCTTTAGGCCATCTGCATGGGGAATGCAGGTGTACAGGGACTGGACATCCATGGTAAAGATGAGGTGTTGGGGACCAGGGAATTGGAAGTTTTGGAGCAGGTGGAGGGCGTGGGTGGTGTCACGGACATAGGTGGGGAGTTGATGGACCAAGGGGGAGAAAATGGAGTCGAGTTAAGTAGCGATAAGTTCGGTGGGGCAGGAGCAGGCGGAGACAATGGGTCAACCAGGGCAGTCAGGTTTGTGGATTTTGGGAAGGAGATAGAAGGGGGCAGTGCGGGGTTGGGGAACGATGAGGTTGGAGGCTGTGGGTGGGTGATGAGGTTGTGGATGGTTTGGGAGATGATGTTTTGGTGGTCGGGGGTGGGGTCATGATCAAGGGGGCGGTAGGAGGAGGTGTCGGAGAGTTGGCGCCTGGCCTCAGTGATGTAGAGGTCAGTGGGCCATACTACAACTTTGCCTCCCTTGTCCGCGGGTTTTATGGTGAGGTTGGGATTGGAGCGGAGAGAGCGGAGGGCTGCACGTTCTGTTGGGGGAGAGGTTGGAGTGGGTGAGAGGGGTGGAGATATTGAGGCGATTGATGTCACGACAGCAGTTGGAAATGAAGAGGTCAAGGGAGGGTAGGAGGCCTTGGGGTGGTGTCCAGGAGGAGGGGGTGTGTTGGAGGCGGGAGAAGGGCTCAGTAGAGGGAGGGTTAGGCTCGTGATTAAAGAAGTAAGCGCGGAGGCGGAGGCGGCGGAAAATCTGTTCAACGTCCAAGCGTGAGTGGTATTCATTGATGTGTGGGTGGAGGGGGACAAAGGTGAGCCCTTTACTGAGGACTGACCATTCGTCTTCAGTAAGGGGGAGGTCTGGGGGGATGGTGAAGACCCGGCAGGGCTGGGTGCTACTGTCTCCTCTGGAGCTGCTGGGTGTGGAGGCGGTGGGCGGAGCGATGTCGGCGTCGGTGGTGGGCAGAGCGACGTCGGCATCAGTGGTGGGCGGAGCGGTGTCGGCGGTGGGCGGAGTGACGTCAGCGTCAGCGGTGGGCGGAGTGACATCGGCGGTGGGCGGAGTGGAGTCGGTCGGTAAATCCTGGATGTTGGTTTCGGCGGCAGCAGCGGTGTCAGGTACGTCCTCAGTGTCTGTGGTGTTGGCCTCAGAAGCAGAGGCGGTGGCATCAGCAGCAGTGTTGATGGCGTTTGCTGTACCGGAAGTGGTGTACCCAGCGGCGGCGGATGTGACGTCATCTGTGGGTGCTTTGACAGTGGCCACATGGCCAATGGCGGCGGGCACATTGTGGGGAAGGTCCTGGGTAGGGTTGGGGATTTGAGGGTGGAGGAGGCCTGTGTTGGATGGCAGGCACCAGTAAGTTTAGTGTACTTATGGGTTTTAGTGTCCAATAAAGCTGAGTAGAATTGTGAGTTCTGGTTGTGGATCCTGCAAAGAATGAAATACAGGAGAGGTCCTTTGCAGGCCTCGGAGAGGGAGGCTATGAGCTGGGGTAGGCTTGATTGTAGTGCCAGGAGATGCCGGCACATTGCTGCGAGTGTGTGTTTCAGGAGTCGCAGGGGGAAACGTTTTTGAAGGATCTCAATGTTCTGAATGTAGCGGTTGTCACGGTTGGGGACAAATTGGGAAGGCCTAAATGTGGACTGTAGTCCATTGGGGATGATCCGGTTTTGTAGGCAGGTACTAAGAAAGGTAATGTGGCTATAGTACCTGGTTTGCTTCAGGACGTGGTCGAGCAGTTTCAGGGCCGAAGAGATTTCGAGAGAGTTGCAGTGGGAGAGATATCCACTGAGGTCTTTCTGGAGGGAGGACGGTAACTTCTTCAAGGTAGGCATCCTTAGAAGAGGCCTCGCAGTGGGGTTAAAATTGTTTCAGAGAAAATAGGAACTGCAGATGCTGGAGAATCTGAGATAACAAAGTGTAGAGCTGGATGAACACAGCAGGCCAAGCAGCATCAGAGGAGCAGGAAAGTTGACGTTTCGGGCGTAGACCCTTCTTCAGAAATGGGGGAGGGGAAGGGGGTTCTGAATAAATAGGGAGAGAGGGGGAGGCAGATAGAGGATGGATAAAGGAGAAGATAGGTGGAGAGGAGACAGACAGGTCAAAGAGGCGGGGGTGGAGCCAGTAAAGGTGTGTGTAGGTGGGGAGTTAGGGAGGGGATAGGTCAGTCCAGGGAGGACGGACAGATCAAGGGGGCGGGATGAGGCTAGTAGGTAGGAGGTGGGGGTGGGGCTTGAGGTGGGAGGAGGGGATAGGTGGGAGGAAGGACAGGTTAGGGAGGCGGGGACGAGCTGGGCTGGTTTTGGGATGCGGTGGGGGGAGGGGAGATTTTGAAGCTTGTGAAGTCCACATTGATACCATTGGGCTGCAGGGTTAGATCCTTGGTTGTCTTCCAGAGTTCAACTGTGTCACACCATCATAACTCCACCACTTCAACCTTTTCTTTAATTAACTGCACAATGCTTTTCTAGACCAAGTTTCAAAATAATGCTCAAGTTAAAGTTATATAGCAGAGGAAACTTACATAGATCCTTGGTTGTCTTCCAGAGTTCAACTGTGTCACATCATCATAGCTCTCAAACAGGTGACTGAAGATTATCCATTTATTACAATGGCAATGGGTAAGCGTATTACAACGAAATACAAAATAATATGTGGGGGTATGAATAGAGGATGGAGGGGTCTGGGATGCAAGTTGCCAAGGATGGCTACTGTAGGTGGCTGGGGTTCATGAAGGGATGAGAGGGCTGAGGGCTATAGTGCCTTACAGCCATAAATAGAACTGGCCCAATATCCCAAAGAATGGAGGTGAGCTTTCTGTTCACCCTGTCTTGGCAACAGTCAACCTCTATTGCCACCTAATGGTCCCCAAATCTAGCTCACACCCACCTCAAAATACTGGGTGAACTGGCTTTTCAAAGTTGGGAATAAAATATTAGAAAATTACCCGACTCATGCATCCCAAACCAAATTCAAAAATGCAGCTGTTTTTCTTCTTCATATCTTGCTTTCCTGTCTGAACTATTTTATCCTATCCGTATTTAATAGCAAAGTTTGATACATATAACCTGTTCCTGAATCCAATTCATTTTAGAGATTATAAATAGCCGAGAACCCTATACTAATCCCTGTGACACCAACAGTGTCCATCCTGATAATGAGCCATTTATCACAACTGTTTCCTGTCATTTAGCCAATCTTCTATCCATTCAAATACGTTATCCTCAATACCTTGATATTGTATCTTATATAGTAATTTTTTAAGCTGCATTTTACTGAATATCTTACATTAGTCCAAATACACCGTATCTACTGTTCTCTCTATCCATCCTGCTTGTTACATCCTCAATGAACTCCAATAAACTTGTCAAATACAGTTTCCCTTTCTTAAATCTATCTTGATCCTGTTTGATTGTGTTAAGATTTTCTAACTGTTCTGCAACTCATTCCTCGATATGGATTGCAACATTTCTGCAATGGTAGGTATTAGGCTAACTGGCCAATGATTTCCTACTTTCTGTCTGCCTCCTTTTATGTTTGTTACATTTATGATTTTCAAATGCACTAATACCTGTCCAGAATCTCGGGAATTTTGGAGAAATACTACCAGTGCATCTACTATTTCTGAAGCCTAAGATCCTAGGATGCAAGCCATCAGGTTCAAGGAACTTATCTATATTTAATCCCATTAGTTTTCTTAGTACTTCTACTTAGCACTTAATGACTTTTTAAGTTCCACCCGACTTTTCTCACATGATTTTCTGCTCTATTGGGATACCTTTTCTGTCTTTGGCAATGAAGACAACTACAAAGTATTTGCTTAAAGTCTCTGGTATTTTCTTAGATTCATAGAATCCCTACAGTGCAGAAAGAGGCCATTCAGCCCATTGAGTTTGCATCAATCCTCCAAAGGGCATCCCACTTCCCCACCCTATTCCCCCAACCCTGCATTTGCCATGGCTAATCCACTGAGCCTGCTCAATTCTGGACACTACGGGGCAATTTAAAATGGCAGTTCACCTAATCTGCACATCTTTGGACTGTGGGAAAAAAACTGGAGGACCTGAAGGAAACCCAAGTTGACATGGGGTGATCATGCAGACTCCATACAAACAGTCACCAAGGTTGGAATCAAATCCAGGTCCCTGGCACTATAAAGCAGCAGTGCTAACCACTGAGCCACCTTGTTGATTATTTTCCATTCTTTAAAACTCTTTAAAAAATTTTTCATGGCATAAATGTAACATTAAACAAGCTGATTTTATAGTTACACCACGCAAAATGTATTTTAAATGAACATTCTTTCCCTTTATCATGGAGTTTGTAATAAGCTTATTGTGAAATCTTTTACGATTAAATCAAAGATTGACTTTAATGGCAAAATATTCAAAACAAGGGAAATTGCTTGCTAATCCACCCGTACAAGCAGGAATTTAAGGAATACAGGACAGCAGGGAAGATAGATTATAAAATACAAGTTTTGGTTCCAAGAAGCTATATTCAGGAACTGCAGAAAAAAGGAGCATGTGTGAAAAAATGGGCATATGCGAGGAAGAAACATGAACAACATATAGCGCAGGTATACAATATGAAGAGTAGGAAAAAAGTATACACAGCACAAAAAAGGCATGAGAAAATCTCAGACTTCTGGAGAGGACCTGTTCTTCAACATATGGGCCACTGCTGACGACACTGGATCACTCCCTTACTGAATGGCAAACTGATAAAAGTGAAGGTGGATACTAGAGCGGGCGGTTTTATTGATACTTGAAACTGTGCATCAGAAATAGCTGAGTCATGTAGCACTAGAACCTTCAAAAATTGTACTAACATACACAGGTAAAGCAATGCATTTAATGGGTTGTAACAAAGTGAATGTGCAGTTATACAGTCAGTCTGATATTTCCTTACATGTTGCCAAAGAAAATCTTCCAGCTTCATTAGGAAGAAGGCAGTTGTAGAGAATCAAACTCAACTGGACTGGCGCAAATTGCTTGTCAGATTCTACAACTGATCTATCACAAACTTTAAAGAAACATACCATTGTTTTCCATAGGGGTCTGGGAAGCATGGGAAAGATCAGTCAAGTTGAAAATCAAGAATAAGGGAATCAAGCAAAATGTTGCAAGGCTAAATCAGCGCCTACGTGATCAGACCAAAGGTTGACACAGAAATCAAACCAAACAAGAAGTATGAATTGAATCAGAATGGCATTTTATTAAACCTTACAAATAATCTGCTCAAGAAGATCAACAATGATCACTATACCTGTGACATTAGTAATGCACAATCAAGAGCTCACCTGACAATTGCAGCTTTGCTTATGACCTTCAAACAAAGTTTAAGGATGAAGATGTTCAAGAGGATGATACTGCTATCCTGCTATGTGAGGTTAACAGATCAGATATAGCAGTACAATGGACAAAAGGATCCACTCTACTTCAGCCTAGTACCAGATATGAAGTGAAGTAAAAAGTATCCATCATTGAGCCTATCATTCATAAATTTAAACCAGAAGATAGTGGAAAATGCACTTGCAACATTCGAGAACAACTAATCAGTGCTTCCTTGAATGCTAATTCCCTCCTGGTCCTTTTCAGACAAATGCTTCAAAGTGAGGAAGCTGCTGACGTTAGCACTACAACTTTTCACTGTGAGCTTACTAAACCTGATGCTCGTATAGAATGGAAATAACAGGCTGTAGTGCTTCATCTCAATGACAAGTACGAAGTGGGTTTTATTGTTGAACTGTCAATCTGAGATCTGAAACGAGAAGATGTGTGAGAATATACTTGTGAATCAGAAAATCAACAGACCACAATGTTCTTTAAAGTGAAAGAAAACCCAGCAGTTTTCATTAAATCTTGGATGACATTGTTGGAGAAGAGAGAGGAATGATCACAGTGGAGTGTGACATTTCGAAAATAACTCAAAGTCAATTCTATTGGAAAAAGGATGACTCGGTACTTGGTTCAAGTGACAAATATGAACTATTGCATGCAGGAAAAGCACTTTGTCTTATAGTACATGACCTAAATAAAAGTGATGCTGCATTGCATACTTGTGACATAGGCACAGACATTTCAAGTGCTAATCCATGATTTGAACATTGGAATCACGAAATGGCTCAAGAACACAGAGATCAAAGAAGGCAAAATGGCTCTTTTGAATGCAAACTTTTTTTATGAACCCGTTGATGAATATTACTGGACTGTAAATGGACTTTTAGTGGAAGACAATGAATAATTTGAGGCATTTAATACTGGGCGAAAATCCATCTGTAACAATTAGCAGTCAGCTCTATCAGATGCTGGAGAAGTAATTTTCACGTGTGAAATCTCACCTTGAAAGCCACATTGATGGTGAAAGGAAAAGAACAGAAGAAGTCACAAGGTAATTTAAGAACTTGCTGGTGATAGTAGAAGAAGAGATTATACCAAGCTGTGAAACTGCTCAGCCCAATTGTTTAGTTTAAGGATTACAAAAGAATTAGAAAGAGTCATACATATAAAGTATTAACAAGTATTAACATCACATCACTACAAAGAATTCAGGAGAATATGCATGTGAAACAGAGACTTTTTGGTAAATCGATTTGCCAAAGAATTACACAACATTAAAACTGAAGAGAAAAGAACTGCCATTTTTGAATGTGAATAAATTAGCCAACACGAAAGATTATCTGGAGAAAAGGGAATGGCCAGAAAAGTCAATGAGAAAAATAAACAAACACCTGAGGTCCACAGAGGAACTGATGTCCTTCAGAACATCTTACCCCTATTGACTGTTGATTGTAAATATCGTGAATTGTTTTCATTGCAGGAACTTTTCATGTAAATGAGGAAGGATGTTGTGTATTTGGTAGACTGTCACTTTAAAAATTAATCTCCTGCTGTTGTTAAACATTTCGGCCTTTTGGTCCCTCTTGAGAATGTAACGTTAAGTATCACACAGTGACTAGCATATATTGACACAGAGTCAGCTTGCGTCATGGGCTATAAGAAAGAATAGTATATGGAGCTGCATCCTGAGTTCACATGTGCATCCAATGAGTGTAACTCTTCCTACTTTTCTAGGAAAGAATCAAATGATCACTGCAACCGTGAAAGCAGAAACTGGGAGCAGCATCATTTCACCAGTTATTGAAAACTCTACTGTCACCTCCATGCCCATTACAATCAATGTGGAGCGTGTTTGCAAGGTCAACCATGGTAAGATATCACTAAATTTGCAAGTAATCATCAACAGAATCTATGGGCATCAACAATGGGTAAAAGTAATTCTCTTTGAATATTATTAAGTCAATGTGAAATTATATTGTACTAGGCGTTTTTTACAGACATTAATCAGTGTTTAGTATAATGCCTGAGTATGGGAGACACTAATTTTTAGATGGAGAAAGGTCAGGTTCTGTTCCGGGCATGCGTTGATTTAGATGATCTCAGATACAAGGGTGTTGGCTTTAGCAGCACTGAGGTAAGTAGTGGAATGATCAGCCAGGGTTCATTCTACTGACAATTATCCAGGGACTCCAATTAGAAATGTGTACATGGCTGTGGGGATGTAAGCATATTAAAATCTCCAATTTACAAAGGATATTAAAGTCAAGGTATCTTCACTGTAGATTCACAGTGTGATAAAAGCGATGAGGAACTACAATTACACAGTTATGACACTGTAGTTGTGGGGAGGTACTCGTGAATCTAAGACAAATTTCACTGAAGCAGAGAAGGTATTTGGGGAGATTGATATTACATTCTTGTTCAAAAGGGGTGTAATCATAAACCCAACAACAACAGGCCAATCAGTTTAACTTTGGTGATAGGCAACTTTAAGAAATGACAGTTCAGGGCGAAATGAATAGTCACTTAGATAAATTTGGTTTAATTAAGGATAGCCAGCACATTTTACTGGAGGCAAATCTTTTTTAACAAACTTGACGAAGTCTTTTGATGATGCAATTGTGTAGGTTGATGAAAATAATTTGGGTGACATTGTCTACATGGATTTCTAAAAGTTGTTTGATAAAATGCCAGAAAAAAGGCTTTCCAGCAAAATTAAAGCCTATGGCATACAAGAGACAGTGTCAGCATGAGTTGAAATTGATTGCGTGTCAGGATTTGTGGTAAATCGTTTTTTTCATCTAGAAGAAGGTGTTCTAGAGAGTTCTGCTGGGATAATTTTTTTTTAAATTTATATTAATGACCCAGAATTGGATGTACAGGACACTATTTTAAAACTTTCAGCTGACACAAAACTTGGAAATATTTGAAACTACACGGAGGATAGTGATAGATTTCAAGAAGACATAGACTAATATAATGTTAATTATGTGGCAAATTAAATTTTACACAGAGAAATATGAAGTGATATACTTTACTAGAAAGAACAAGGAAAAGCAATATAAACCTAAGTGTACAATTCTAATATTGGGTAAAGTCAGATTGCCTGCAGAATCTCACTTAGGTTCAGAGGTGTACTCTGAACATAATAGAAATGAGTGACAATTCCAAATAATGTGTTAAAACAGAAATTTTATTCAATACAATGATACGAGTAATGTATAACAATTTATAAGTGTTAACGTAAGTGATAATTCCCATTGAATATGATTAAATTGATGTGAAATTATATGGTCCTAGACCACTTTTTTTAACAGACATTAATCAGTGTATACCTAACGCCTAGTTTTTAGATGGAGCAAAAAAATAAGAAAGAAGGATCAGGGACAAGAGGACACTGATTTACAATGAATGACAAAAGAGCCAATGGGAGAAAAGAAAATGCATTTTTTAAAATAAGTGATTGGAAGCAGTTGTTGGGCAGCATGGTGGCTCAGTGGTTAGCACTGCTGCCTCACAGCACCAGGGACCCGGTTTCGATTCCACCCTCGGGTGACTGTCTGTGTGGAGTTTGCACGTTCTCCCAGTGTCTGCGTGGGTTTCCTCCAGGTGCTCCGGTTTCCTCCCACAGTCCAAAGGTGTACAGGCTAGGTGGATTGACCATGCTAAATTGCCTGCAGTGTTCAGGGATGTGGAGCTTAGGTGGGTTATAGGGAGATGGGTCGCTGTGGACTTGTTGGGCTGAAGGGCCTGTTTCCACACTGTAGAGATTCTATTCTATTCTAAATCCTGTGTCTGAGAGTAAGGTGGAGGATGATTCAATCACGCTTTTCAAGGAGAATTGAATAATCTAAAGTTTTTGAGAATATTTGTAGCTCGGGTTTGGATGAGGATGTAGACTTGCTCACCGAGCCAATGTGTTCGGTTGTAGACGTTTTGTCACCCTGCTAGATAACATTGTCAGTGCGCCTCCAGTGAAGCGTTGGTGTTCTGTCCCACTTGTTACTTCTATGCCTCGGTTTGCTGGGGTGGTTAGCATTACTTCCAGTTTTTCAGTGTATATTGGGTCCAGTTCTATGTGTTTGTTGATGCAGTTCCAGTTGGAATGCCAGGCCTCCAGGAATTCCTTGGCATGTCTCTGTTTGGCTCGTGCTATTATGGATTGTTGTCCCAGTTGAATTTGTGCCCTTCTTTGTCCATGTGTATTGAGACCAGTGAGAATTGGTCATTTCTCTTGGTGGCTAGTTGGTGTTCTTGTATCCTTATTGTCTGTTTGACCTATGTAATGTTTTTCACAGCTCATGCATGGTATTTTGTATATTACGTTAGTTTTATTGGTTGTGGGTATGGGATCCTTTACATTTGTCAGTAGCTGTTACAGAGTGGTTGTTGGTTTGTGGACTACCCTGATTCCTAGGTGTCTGAGTAGTCTTGTGGTCATCTCTGATATGTCCCTGATGTGCAGTAGGGTGACTAGTGTGTCTGGCCTTGTTGTGTCTTCTTGTTGTGGTCTGTCACTGAGGTAATGGTGGATTGTTTAAAAACTCCGTATAAGTGCTCCTGTTCTGATTTGCGTAATTCCGGATTGCTGCAGTGTGTTGTGGCCCCTTTGAATAATGCCCTGATGCAGCTCTGTTTATGGGTGTTGGAGTGGTTGCTGGAGTAATTACGTATCTGATCCATATGTGTGGTCTTTCTGTATACAGAGCAGATACTTATACTATATATATCAAATACTTAACTACCTCCCACAACAAGAAGACACAACACGGCCAGACACATTAGTCACCCTACCGTACATTAGAGACGTATCAGAGATGGCCATAAGACTACTCAACCACCTAGGTATAAGGGTAGCCCACAAACCAATAACCACTCTGTGACAGCTACTGATGAATGTAAAGGATCCCATAACCACAACCAATAAAACTAATGTAATATACAAAATACCATGCAAGGGCTGTGAAAAACATTACATAGGCCAAACAGACAATAAGGATACATGAACACCAACCAGCCACCAAGAGAAATGACCAATTCTCACTGGTCTCAATACACATGGACAAAGAAGGACATGAATTCGACTGGGACAACACATCCATAATAGTATGAGCCAAACAGAGACATGCCAGGGAATTCCTGGAGGCCTGGCATTCCAACGAAACTCCATCAACAAACACATTGAACTGGACCCAATATACAAACCACCAAAAAACAGAACCAGAAGTAACGCAAACCACCCCAGCAAACCGAGGCATATAAATAACAAGCGGGACAGAACACCAGCGCTTCACTGGAGGCACACTGATGATGTGACCTAGCAGGGTGACGAAGCGTCTGCAACCAAACACACTGGCTCAGTGAGCAAGTCCACAACTTCAGAATTGGATAATCAACCAAACAGAAAAGATTTGTGGGGATACAGAAACCGTAGGGAAGTGAGAGTTGCTGAGTTGCTCTTGCAGTGAGCTGGCATAGATAGCACAGACCAAATGGATTTCTTCTGTGTTTTAAACATTCTGATTCTATTTATCATTGAAACATTGAATGATGCATTTCAGAATGAGACCAGTTAACCTATTGTGCTTGTGCCACTTCCTTGAAAGAGCTATATAATTCATTCCACTCCAGTTCTGTTTCTGTAGCCCTCCTGTTAATGTTTTCCATTTAATGATTTATCCAATTCTCTTTTGAAACTTTCTATTAAATCTTCTTCCCTTCCAAGCAATACATTCCAGATTTGCTGCATCAAAATTAAATCTTTGTATTTATTCTACTTCTTTTACTAATCGTCTTTTTCTCTCGCTATTGACTCCTCTGCCACTGAAAATAGTTTGACATAGTAAGAACTGCCGATACTGGAGTCAGAGATAACACAGTAACTTCCGGATTGAACGTATCATTCTCCACTACTTCCGCAACCTGAAATTTGAGCCTACAACCAAGGATATATTTCCCTCCACACTCCTATCTGCCTTCCGTAGGGACCGCTCTCTCTGCGACTCCCTCGTCCACTCCACACTCCCCACTAGCCCCACTACTCCCAGCACCTTTCCCTGCAACCACAGGGAGTGCTACACCTGTCCCTACACCTCCCCCCTCACCTCCATCCAAAGAACCAAAAAAACTTTCCACTCGGACAGAGGTCCACCTGCACATCCGCCAATGTGGCCTACTGCATCCGCTGTTCCCGATGTGGCCTCCTCTACATTGGTGAGACCAAGCGGAGGCTCGGAGACCGCTTTGTAGAGCACTTGCAGTCTGTTCGCGACAAACGACAACACCTTCCAGTCCTGAACCATTTCAACTCCCCCTCCCACTCCCTGGACGACATGTCCATCCTGGGCCTCCTCCAATGTCACAATGACGCCACCCGGAAACTGGAGGAGCAGCACCTCATATTCCGCCTAGGGAGCCTGCAGCCCAATGGTCTCAATGTGGACTTTACCAGTTCCAAAATCTCCTCACCCCCGGCCTCATCCCATGACCAACTCACCCGCTCATCCCCGCCTCCTTGACCTGACACAACCTAACACAACCTGCCCAACTTCTCTCTGACCTATTCGCTCCTCCCACCTCACTGACCAATCCCCACCACTGCCTACCTGTACTCACCTATCACCATCCCACCTACCCTCCCCAGCCCCACCCCTCCTCTCTATTTATTTCAGAGCTCCCTTCCCTCTCCCCCATTTCTGAAGAAGGGTCCTGACCTGAAACATCAACTTTCCTGCTCCTCTGATGCTGCCTGGCCCGCTGTACTGCTCCAGCTCCATACTGGAAATAGCTTCTTTTTTAGAATATCAAAACTCTTAAATTTTCCAGTAGCAGTCTCCACTGTAAGAAGAACAAGTTCAGCTCCTTCTGTCTCTCCAGATAACTGTAGTCCATCATTCCTGATACGATTCAAATAAAACCCTTTCTGAAATCTCAACATCTTTCTCAAAGTGGAGTATCTAGGATTTAACCCACTATTCTATCTGAGTCTTAATCAATGGTTTATCAAGGTTTAGCATAGGATTTTGCTTATGAACTGTATGCCTCTATAAATAATATTTAAGTAGCCTTCTCAACTTTTCTAATCAGCTTTAAAAAACATGCATTCAGATATCCAGGTCTGTCTGTTCCTGCATCCCTTTAAAATTTAATTGATATTGCCTCACTTCATTCTTCACACCAAAATTGACCACTTTAGACTTCTCCGCATTAAATTCCATCTGTCACATTTGCTCATTTTGTCAATATATCTATGTATGCCTGACGTCTGCTATTGCACTTTTTTTTGCTATGTTTCCAAGTTTCTTGCCATCTGCAAATGTTGAAATGTCATTAGGCATGACGTCCCTTGAACAAAGCCATGCTGACTGTCTCTGATCAAATTTTAAAATAAAACAAAAAACTGTGGATGCTGGAAATCTGAAGCAACAATAAAAATTGCTGGAGAAACTCAACAGTTCAGGCAGCATCTGTAGAGAGAAAACAGAGTCAATGTTTCAAGCCCAGTGAACCTTTGAAGTTTCTCCAGCAATTTGTACTTTTGTTCCTAATCAAACCTTGTCTCTCCAAGTAGAGATTAATTCTCTCCTTCAGACATTTTTCCAACTGTTTCCCTTCTACTGATGTGAGGCTTACTAGTGTATGATTCCTTGGTTTATCCCTACTGCCGATCTTGAAAAGTGGTACAGCATTAGATGTCCTCCAGTCATCTGGAACCTTCCCTACGGCCAGAGAGGAATTAAAACTTTAAGTCAGAACCCCTGTAACTTTTAATTCCTCATCTTCTACAGTAGCTTAGGATACAACTCATCTAGAAATGGGGATCTTTCCACTTTTAAACCTGCAAAAATGTCAAATTCCTCCTCTCCCCTATGTCAGTCTGCTCAAGAACCTCACTGTCCCTCTCCCCAAATTCTGTACTTACACCCACCTTCCCCAGAGTGAAGGTAGAAATGAAGTACTCATTTAAAACCCCACCAGTATCCTCCAGGTCCACCTACCCCTTGGTCCCTAATGGGCCTTACTCTTTCCCTAGCTATCGTCTTCCCCTTAATATAGTTATAAAATATTCTTGGATTCTCTCTAATTTTACCTGCTAATGCTTTTTCATGCCACTCTTCGGTCTTCCAATTGCTTTCTTAAGTCCCCTTACACTTTCTCTTCTCCAGGAGGGCTTCAGTTGATTTGCTCCCTTTGTACCTGCTAAATGCCTCTCTTTTCCTTTTTATCCAGTTCTGAATATTCCTAGACATTCAGGGTTCTTTATACTGGTTTCTGCTACGTATTGCCCTAAAGGGAACATGTTGGGCCTGTACTGTACAATGTTCTGCTGTAGATTTTCAATAAGTTGCTGTTTCCAGCCCATTTTGGCCAGATCCAGCCTAATTTCAATAACATCTGCCTTCCTCCAATCTAAAACCCCTGTTTGCAGACCATCTCCATCCTTCACCATAGCAAATTCAATTGTACTGTGTTTTGGTCGCTATCACTAAAATGCTCCCTCACTGCCATCTTGACCACCTGCCCAGTTTTGTTCACCAGAATTTGTTCCAGCACTGCACCATCCCTCATTGGACCTTTTATGTGTTGAAGTCATAAAGTTTGAATTATCACTCAAGGAGTGAGGAATAGGTTTAGGAAAAATTTTTGATACAGTGAGTTCTTGGGCATGCAATGCTTTTCAATACCTTTTAGCTCAGGCAAAGCCCAGAACAACTTTTAAGAGAAGAGTAATATTTCAAACCTTATTGTCTGGGCCTATTGACTGTGAAATATTCTATGCAGATACTTCCACCAGTTTATTACTCATCAAACATGTTTATCCAGGTGCTCCTACTATACGAGACAAGCAAAGACTTGCAGTTCAAAAGTAGTTTTGTTAAAACATTTACAAGTTAAAGAAACAACCGTTACATAACAAATTAAGCTAACTTTTCCCCAAATTTGGCTGACTGCCTAAAAAACACATATGCTAACTGCTCTGATGAACATGCTTTGGGCTGCTGGACTCAATTCACTGAATTCCATCAACGGGTGCACTCAAAATCTTCTTAGCATGAAGGTGGATCTTGCATCTAGTCTTCGCTGGCCGAATCTTCACTGAGGGAATGGCTGCCAGATGTCCCTTCCCATTCCCCCTCCTTTCTGAACCCTATTGGAGTGTTATCTGACTTCAGTCAATGGGGCCACAGGGCAGGGGTCACAGCATCCAATGAGATTAGGCCAGCCCATCCGATGTGTGCCCATTCTCTTTCCAAGATATGATTGATCCAAAACTGGGGAATAGACAAACATAATGCCTCTCCTTATTGTTCTAGCTGATTACTCCTTAATGATTTTCGAGCACTCCTGTTCAATATGCAAGACAGATCTGGGATGGTCCTTCTTTGCTTTGACTTGTGGTAACCCTTGCCTTGTTGCATTCCATCAGGCCTTGCTTACAGAAACTGTTTAGCCAATTTTATGTTGGGCCTAGTTGTTTAGGCCACAGTCCTTTCCCTTGATCCCATGAGCCTTACTGAATAGGATCACCCACGTCAAATTTCCCTCACAGGCAAACAACTGAGTCTCATCCCAAAATTCCCAACCCTTTTATTATACAAACATCTTTAATTAAGTACTGTAAAAACATTATCTTTAAACTTTGTACAAGAAAATTTAAACATTGCAAAAGTCAAGGCAAGAGGCATCCTCATCTTAAACATTTTCTCAAATACAATACAAATCTCAAACATTAAATCAAAAATACAAGCTAGCTTGTACCACCCTTTTCATGAATCCAAATACAAGCAAATATTTACAGATATGTACTAGAGGGTCTTTGCCATGCCCGTGGAGACCGTTGGTTAAGCATCATCTCCATACTTAAATCTCTGCAATAGTTGTTTCCTCCACCAGATGAATTTTAATTTGCCTATGTCCAGTGGGGTGAACCGCATGTAGCCCCCAGGTTAAGTAACTTTTTGTTTGTTCAGTGTCTTCAGTAAATTGATCCCAGTGATGAATTCAATGAGGTAGATCTTCAGAATGTCTTCTAATTTGATGGCTATCCTTAGGGGAAATCAAGGTGGCATCTGTTCTCATCATTAGATAACATCATTAGATAATATATTTTCCTAACTGTTCTCCAGTGCTGGAGATCTGTATTGGTCGTATAGTAGCGCTGTGTCACATTTGTCTTACTTACCAAGTGCATTAATAGGGAAATCATGCCTGTGAATGTCCTGCCATACCATCATGGGCATACAGATTCACAATGCATTCTGTTCTTTGTCAAGAATTTGCATTCATAACACTTATCCTAGAGTTGTTCTGTCTACAAAGAGGAAAGGGTAACTTCTCTTGGTTTAAAATTTGAAAGTAATGAGAAAGGAGAGAGTGAGGAGGTGTTGAATTCTACTGTTTGTATGTCATTAAAAAAAATTATGGAAGAGTTCATTAGTTTCTTCTTTCCCATAGTATAATAATTTTTTCCAAACATTAAGCCAATAAAATATTTGAACGAAATAACAATCTTGTCAATTTTGATTCCAGGTGGATATTTTCGCTGCATGGCTTTACCCCCATCTATCAAATCTGGTAAGGAAATGATAAATGAATACTTTGTAGTACAGAAGTTAACCATTGCTAAAAGGAGACTAAAAGTTGAACCTTAATGTCTTACACCTAAAAGAAGGAGAATGCAAGAAACAGACTTTAAAAAAAAACCCAGCTTTTACAGCATGGGAAAGATTTAGAACATAGAACGGTACCGCACATTATAGGCCCTTTGGCCCACGATGTTGTGCCAACCTATTATCCTACACTAAGATCAAAGTACCCTGCATACCCTACATTTTACTATCATCCATAATGCCTGTCCACGAGTCGCTTAAATGTCCCTAACGTATCATTCTCCACTACCACTGCTTGCAGCGCATTCCATGCACCCAGCACTCTCAGTGTTAAGAACCTACCTCTGACATCTCTCCTATACCTTCCTGCAATCACCTTAAAATTATGCCCCCTCATAATAGTCATTTCCGCCCTAGAAAATGTCTCTGGGTATCCACTCTATCTATGCCTCTCATTTGTTGGGCCTTTAGGGCAATTGGTTGCTGGTTAGTCGGAGGATAGGAATCTTGCAGCAGGTAACTCGCCTCCTTTCCCCACAGAGCCTGTTCACCATCTGCAAGGCACAAGTCAGGAGTATGATGGGATACTCCTCACTTGCCTGGATGAGTGCAGCTCCAACAATACTCAAGAAGTTTGACACCATCCAGGACAAAGCAGCCCGATTGACTGACACACATCCACAAACATTCATTCCCTCCACCACCAACACTCAACAGCAGCAGTGTGTACTATCCACAAGATGTACTGCGGAGATTCACCTAGGTTCCTTAAAGAGCACCCTCCAGACCCAGGACCACTTCCAACTGGAAGGGCAAGGGTGTCAGTTAAATGGGAACACCACCACTGCCCATAAGTTGACCTCCAAGCCACTCATTATTCTGATTTGGAAATAAATCACTTTTCCTCGGTGCTATTGGGTCAGAATCCTAGATTTCCTTCCTTAATGGCATTGAGGGTCTACATGCAGCAAATGGACTACAGTTCAACACCACCTCCTCAAGGGCAAATGGGGATGGACAATAAATGCTGGCCAAGCCAACAACATCCACTTCCCATGCGTGAATAAAAAAAATGATTCTGTAATCAGTCAGATAACTCAAGTCTGAATGAACTCTGTAACCGCTTGGTTCCTTAAAGTAATGGTAAAGAGGCAATTGCATTCTGAGCCGACTTACCGGGTGTCACAATTCCAAAAAGAGTAAACTTGCAAATTAATAAACACTTTTCTTTTTCTCCCTAACAGCACCTTTTTTGGCATTGCCTTTGTTAACATTGGTAAAGAAATTCAATTTGACATTTTCAGATCAGTTACATTAGTTGTTGATAGTATACAAGAATGGATATGTAGCAAATGAAAATGTGAATTTGATACAGAAATAGCACATAGGAGTTCAAGTTAATTGTGATGATATGTAAACCTAGGCCTGGGAGTGCTTGATGGACAGCTGGTGCTTGACTTGTGAACAATACAACTGCTTAGAGGGACTTTTTTGCATAGAACTCCATTTTACGAGCTGATATTGGCTGTTCAGATTAGCATGTATTTCCTGTCCAGAAGCTAAGTAGAATGTAAAATTTCCCTTATTTTACTTACAGGAGATTCATATGAACAAGTTATAAATGATCATAAGAAAATCCTGAAGGAAAAACTTGAATATATTACAGATTACACATCAATTGCAGGGGAGCGTATCTGCCTCCTTCAGAGATTCACGGATCTTTGGATCACCGATGCTAAGGAGCACGAAGTAACAGAAATTGGATCATCTTCCCTCAGACATGACAAGACAGTTATTAAATCTATGGAGAACAAGAACATTTTCAGACCCATTCATGAAGAACGGCCAGCAAGAGTGGTCATTACCAATGGCATTGCAGGCATCGGGAAGACAATTTATGTAAAGAAGTTCCTTCTCGACTGGGCAATGTCAAAAACACACCAGGAGTATGATTTTGTATTTGTCTTTCCATTCTGTGAGCTCAATCTCATCTCAGACGAAAGCATGAGCCTTGTACAGCTAGTACAGCAACATTACCCACATATGAGGCAATTGGGTGAGACTTACCCGAAAGACTCTGACCGCTCCTTGTTCATTTTTGATGGTCTGGATGAAAGCCGATTTTCCTTAGAGTTTGAAAATAGCCCTGTGTGCTCTGACATATCGAAGCCAATGCCTCTGCAATCATTACTGACAAATCTCATCAAAGGGAACCTCTTTCCCTCAGCATCTATTTGGATAACAACACGCCCATCGACAATACATCGAATTCCATCCTGCTATGTGGACAGAATGACAGAAATACAGGGATTCCAAGATGAAGAAAAGGAAGAATATTTCAGGAGGAAATGCCAGGATGAACAGCTGACAGAGAAAATCATTGCACTAGTAAAGAAGCAAAGTAGCCTTTGGATGATGTGCTATGTGCCTGCTTTCTGCTGGATCCTCACCACTGTTTTAGAACATGTCTTCAAGTCATCACATGCTGAGGAATTTAGAGGTAGCACTGTAACTGAGATTTATACCAACTTTCTACTTGTCATGGTGACGTACCATCGTGAACACCGTGGCCATGGAAAGGAAAAAATTGAAAAGATATGCCAGTTACTCCAGTCAGACCGGGCAGCAATACTCAATCTGGGCAAGCTTGCATTCCAGTATCTTAAGTCTCATACTTTTGTCTTTTATGAGGAAGATTTTAAATCCTTCAATATTGATATTTCATCTATTTGTAGTGGGTTTTGTCGGCAATATTACATTGAGTACTCCCCACTTTCCCACAGGCGAGTCTACTCCTTTGTTCATGCCACAGTCCAACAGTACTTTGCAGCTCTCTATATTTTTGTAGCTTACCACAATGAGAAACGGAACCTGATGGCATGCAGTATGATGGGGCGGCTCTGGGAGATCTTTTCAAAGCCTACCTTCTTTCAGGTTTGTAAAAGTGCCTGCAGTGAGGTAGTTCAGAGTCACACAGGCCACTTGGATCTGTTTCTCCAATTTCTCTGTGGGTTGGGAAAGTGTAGGATACAGAAGTGCCTGCTAGGTCTTCTAACTCATGTGGAGGAACAGAAAGATGATCTACAGAATACCATAAGCTACATGAAGAAGTTGCTCCAAACAGACATCCCTCCAGAGAGATGTATCAATCTATTTCACTGTCTCACTGAGATGAATGACAAGTCAGTAGTGAGAGAAATGAATGAATCCCTCCACCAGGGAGTGTTGTCCTCCAAAAAACTATCACTTGCTGATTATTCAGCATTGGCCTACATTCTGAAGACATCTGATATGGACAGAAAAGAATTCAATTTATCCACATACAGGATATCACCAGATGGTTTGAAAAGACTGTTACCAGTTATTAAATCCTTTGAAAAAATAACGTGAGTATTTTGCCCATAAAGGATTTGAAGAGTTCACTACTTTTCTATGACACAAATATTTTAGACTTTTTTAAGTTCAAATATAGGAGAAGGAAGGTGTGCAAATGATTTAGATTCAAGGAGAGTTTGCTGAGCACATGGCTGACAGCTTTGAGGACAGTGTGGAAGAGAGATTGGATGGATATCTGATAGTGTAAGCGATTAGACAAGTATTAATTTCTTGGACTGAAGATATGATCGCACAATCTTTTTAGGTCTTGTACACCCTAATATAATTTAGTCTGATTTATTCTATGAGGTATATGGAGTCTGTTGAGATTTTCAGCAGATAGGTTTTGCCCTGAACTCAGTCTACTTAAGACATCAGTTCTTTCATGCACTGCACTTGCGCAATACAGTAGAGTAGATAAATTATTATCCTTTTGCACTCTGGGACTGTGTGACACAATGGGTCAGACACTGTTGTGGTCGTAGTCAGATTGGGTGTTACAATGGGTCAGTTTCTATTCTATACAGTCAGATTGGGTGCTACAGTAGGTCAGATACTATTCTATCACTGTCAGATTGGGTGTTACATTGGATCAGATACTGTCCTATTGCACTCTGGGATTGGGTGTGTCAGTGGGTCGTACAGCTATACCATAATATTAAACCTTTTAACTATAGCCTATCAGCAATGCTACAGGACAAGAGCAAATAGTGTGACACAATGTAGGAGTGACTCTATGTTTCTTTGCAACATTTGTCTGGATATTATCTGAAATATTTGACCTATTATTTGAACTATAGTCTAACAGGTACCATCATGGATGAGGAAATGGTTAATTCTATGAGTGCTCTTCTGCTTGCCAATAAAAACCAAATCAAGGAGTTATGGTAAGCTGTGACTTGGTACCAGACATTTTCTGTACAATTCTTAGCAGCACATTAGAGTCAGCTGTCATCCTGGGCTCAGAGGTAAAAATTCCACCTCTGGGTCAGATGGTTTTGGGTTTGAAAGTCCACTCCAGAATATGATCACATAACCCAGGCTGATATTCTAGTAAGATTTAAGGAATTACTGCATGCTGTCTTTCAGGTGAACAAACCTTCTGGTCACTCAGATAAATGTAAATATAAATTAAAGAAAAACAGGGAGTTCAGTTAGGGTGAATCACCAATATTTATCTGTCAACTTTCATCACTGAAAAAGATTTTAATCATGTATTTTGGGGATGTACTGAGGTCTAGGAAGATGCCACATAAATTGAAGATCTTATCTCTCATAGGAATGAAATTAGAATTTGGAAATTTTGCTATAAGAATGATAATAAGCTGCTCTGCCCTTGCCTCAGTGGGCCATACTCATACCATGAATAACACTTGAGCTATAAAGACGAACACATCCTGAGTCCTATTCCCGGCTTACAGTCAGTCATTTCATATCAATTGGTGGAGTAGAACAGGATTAAAACTCGCCTCAATGCCCAGGGTCCTGATCCAGATCACCAATCCTCCCCTGCCAGGGATATAGTGCTGCTACTTCTCAGTGACTACACTAATGTATAAAGGATGATCATTATGTTGACATACTGAGGAGTGTCCACTGCCCTGGAAGCCAGACCCTGTGACATTTAGTCCTCTTGGGAGGTGGGAAGAAATGATGGATAACGAATCTGTTAAGCAATGGCCTGGTAGTTCGGCTGGTGCCTGAGTATTGGTGGAAAGCCCATTAACACACAGAGTGGCCCAGCAATGTGTAGACCCTTAAACCTCACACACAGTAATTTCCAGGTCAATTAATATTTACAGGATATTTAATCACGGGGGACAATTGTAGCCATGATAGGCACACATAACTTTAGATGTTCATTGGCTAGTGATCAGTGGGGCTGATTTATTTTAATTCTTGATTGTGGGATTCTGAAGTCTCCACTTCCTGCCTCAGATGAAATCAACTAACTCAGAAAGGACCTGGGGCATTCCTGCAATGTTTGACTCAAAACACATCAGTAATTTGCTGCTTCATCATTTCAAAGCTGAAGGATGGATTCAACATTTGATTCTTTCCTCTTGATTACCTTGACCTCGGACTTCCCTGATCATAACTATTATTGTCTGGTGAAGATCTTCTGCTGGTGACCCAGTGGAAAATCTCCAAGTACTTGATGTCAACTACATCTCCTTACTAAGCTCACACTGACCTTCATCATGAACATGGCCAAGGTTACAATTCATATCATTATACTCTCTGTGTCATGGATGTCCGCTTTCCAAGGCCAAATTAGTGGACTCTATAGCACCTTAGGGGCTGCAGGTAAGAGTTTAGCTATCTGTTCCTATGAACTTAAACATTGCCAACAGGTCTTGGGTGTTAGAATTTTACATTTACCTATCAACAGGCGACAGTGTTGACAACAACCTTTTCCAGATGTTTAGATCCATAATATTTAACAGAACAAACAAAGTAATAAGAAAACAAAAGTGTTAGTGTTAGACTTGGGAATGGAGTTTGTTGGACTTTGAGTTCTGAAATGCCAGTTGATCATTTGGCCCTAAGACTGTATGCTTTAGATCTGTGATTTTATTGTAAATGTGAAATGATTTACATTCCAGCTTGATAAATAACACATTGGGAGATACAGGCCTCAAAAATCTGGCTGGCGCACTGATGAGCTCAAGCTGCAGGCTGGAGATACTGCAGTAAGGAAACCTTTTCTACTTTTCAAAACTCTTTAACATAGAAACATAGAAAATAGGGATGGGGATAGGCCTTTCAGCTGTTCAAACCTGCTCTTCCATCGAATACGGTCATGATCAATCATTCTACCCTTTGCCATTAAGAACTATATCTAATTCTTTCTTGAAAGCATTCAATGTTTTTGCTTCAACCACCTACTGTGGCAGAGAATTCCACTCTCTAGATGAAAAGGTTTCTCCTCATCTCAGTCCTACATAGCCTACCCCATATCCTTAAACTATGACCCCTCAGTCATCAGGAACATCCTTCCTGTGCTCATAGAATCACAGAATTTTCACTATGCAGAAAAAGGCCATTCAGCACGTTGTCCATCCACAGTTCTTTTACCTAGTGCTGATCTTGTGCCTTTTCCCCATATCCCTGCACACCATTTCTATCAAAATACTGCCCCCACTACGTTTCCAGGCAGTACATTCCAGACACTACCTACTTCTATGTGAAAAAGTTTTTTCTTGCATCACCCATGCTTCATTTGCACACCACTTGAAATCTATGCCCTCTCATTTTTTTTCAAGCAGGAACAGTTTCTCCTTATCTACTCTGTCCAGCTCATTCATGATTTTGAAAACTTCTACCAAATCTCCTTTCAGCCTTCTTCTCTCCAAGGAGGACATTTCCAACTTCTTCAGTCTATCCTCATAACCAAAGTTTACCCTATCTAGTCCTCATTAGACTTTTTCTGGGTTTCTATGAGTTTTCCCCTGGTTCTTCTAAACTCCAGTGAATATAGTCCTAACCAATTTAGTCTTTCTTCATTCAACAGCCCTGCAATCTCAGGAATCAGTCTTATAAACTTTTGTTGTACTTCCTCCATAGCCATTAGATCCTTTCTCAGATAAGGAGATCATAACTGCAAATAAGACTCTAGGTATGGTCTCACCAAGGCCTTGTACATCTGCTCCTGTACTTAAATCCTCTCATGATGAAGGCCACTGCAGGAAACTGGAGCAGCTCAGTTGCCTGTACAGTTGGTTTGTGATACAGGGTGATACCAACACCATGAGTTCAATTCCCACACTGGCTGAGGCCATCATGGAGGTCCCACCTTCTCAACATTAGCCTTTGCCTGAAAGGTGGTGATCCTTGAGTTAAGCCACCAGCCCGTATGCCTCTCTGAGAGAGAAACCCAATGGTCTTCTGGGACTATGACAACTTTCCTTACTGCAGCAATATCAAGGTCTATCCTGTGCTTAATTTAAATTTGAATGTCAGCCATTATGTTTTGTTAATGGAAAAGTCTCTTGCTGCAACCACAAATTCCTTGGTGGGTTTTAGTGTCCTTTCTGCAAAAAGATAGCTGGTAATTGATGCAATCACATGTTTGGCAAAATGTATAAACTGACCTTTGCTCTTTTGACCTTTTAATGGTGTTATGATTCTCATGCTTTATGTAATTGAATTCTCTGCAGTCTGTGTACAAATGACCTCACAGAGCAATGTGGCAAGGATCTAATTTCCATTTTAAGAACAAATCGAATTCTAAAAGAGTTTGACCTGAAATACAACCAGTTGAAAGATGCAGGAATGAAGCAGCTTTCTCTCGCACTGCAGGATTCTGACTGTGAGATTGAAACCCTGGGGTAGGTGCCCATTGTTAGTGGTAACACTTTTCTTTGTAACACGTTTCTTTTCGATCTTTTTATTTGGCAGTAATCAATGGTCTCTGTGTGACTTATTCAGGTTGTGGGGCAATGAGTTCACACACTGCTGCTGCGAGGATCTAGCTCTGGCTCTTAAAACCAACCAGTCGTTAAGAAAGCTGGATCTCGGCTGCAATATTATTGGAGACTTGGGAATGAAACTGCTGTGTGCAACGATGAAGAATGATGGCTGTAAAATTGAGAAGTTAGGGTAGGTAACCCTACCTTATAATTGTTATATCCGCAATAGTCAGTGGATCTTCCACTCACCTGCAGTGGCCAGGTGGAGCAGCAAGTAATTAGATATGATTGTGATCAATATGGTTTGAAGAAAATTCAGAAATCAGTATTTTAGAGAATTTATCGATGTATTAGTGCAGAGCTCCAGGGTAATTTCACACTCAAAGCTACAACAGGTTGTCCAGTCTAATAACTGGAAATGATGCATACATGCCACATTTTTGAGGTTGGGTTGAGACACAATTGGACAGTGTTAAGGGGGTTTTGCCCAATCAAATACTCCTGATCTGGTACAGCATGTGTTAAAAATAGTATAAGTAGAGATTTATTTATCTGACCAATTTTGTACTTGACCTACGGATGGTCGGTTGTACAGTGTAGAGGGAGTTCTGTCAATTCCTTAACTAACATAGAAGTATAAAATTGAACTTTGCAGAGAGTGTTTTGCTCTGCATCTTGCTCTGTTATGTTATATCTGACTTAGGCTATTTTATGGGATGGTGTACAGCTTGACAGTGTTTGCTTCTCAGATCATAGTTAATTTTACTACATAGGCATAAGAAAAAGATGAATGTGATTTAAAGCTGATAATACTTTATTAGCTAGTCAATATATTATGTGAAGATGAGTTTTGGGTGGGGGAAAGTGGGCATATTGAATGCGAACATGGAAGAGTTCATTCTATATTTACATTCAAGTGATCATTGCGTAAATATCAACTGTCAGAAAGAAAATCCTTGTCCAAAAAAGAGGATATGTTACTTTTTATAATGCTTCTGTGTTCTATTTCTTCTTTGAACTTAATAAAAGACTCTTGGTATTAGCTGTGGCCTTGAATGCTATCCCTATTCTGAATCTCTGATCTCCATTCTTGCATTGTGCTGTTGAACCCTGTTCTTGACCTCTGTAGGTTACACCGGACTGGCTTAACAGAAGGCTGCTGTGAGGATCTCACCTCCGTTCTCAGAACAAGCCAGAGCCTGATAGCCTTAGAGCTGGGCTACAACAACCTGGGAGATTTGGGTGTACAGCGACTGTCTGCAGCACTGAAAGATCCCAACTGTAAATTACAAACTCTCGGGTAAATACATTTGTGGTTGACTTCTGCAATCTGGAGCTAGACATTACTTTTTTTTCCATAGGTTTATTCTGACTGGGAGGCATAAGCTGTTGGTCAGTTGAGCCACCTTTACACACATCCCCAAACTCACCCCTAAAATACAAAGAGATGGCATGTGCCAGAATCAGAGTGTGCCCACCATATAGAAGTAAATAATGAAGGATCAATTGAGCATGTTAAAAGCACAATGGATCCTGATAACAAACTAAAGTACTTCAGGAGTGGACAGTTTTATAAACACCTAAATGATTAATGATGGGAAGGTAAGGGGGAGCTTCATTAGGAGGGGAGTTGATTTGCCTCATGTACATCAGTGGCTATACCCCTGCAAAGATGCCATCCCACCTTCCTTCCACCAATCCTGCCTTCTTGGACCTCCCTAGCTGCCTTTCTCACTTCCCTGGGATCATTCTTCATCATAAGATCCTGGAATTTACAGGGCAGAAATCCATGCCATCTGAATTTCTGCACTCCAGTCAATACCCACTACTGAGATCTTGCCCTGCAGGAAGTGATAAATTTGCTGATGAAATAGCTCCCCTTCCTTAGTCACCCACTCGGTTAGTTGCAACAAGGTTAATTTGAAAAGGATTCCTTACCTTTCTCTAAAATCGAAATGAAAATACAACACACTTGCAAACAGACTAAAAGTAAGAGGTGGGTTCAAACAGATAAACAAATAAAAAAAGTTACACGTGGCACTCTTTGAATTGTTTGTGAAGAGTGGAGAGGTGAACATTGTTGCTGATATTGGTAGGTGAATAGTTGGCTTGGTGGATCCTTAGTTTTACAGATTGGTTGACATTCTGTAGTCCTGATGCCTTTCGACTATGATTAAATTCCAGCATTCAGGGTAAGAGTTTCTTGATGAGCAGTACTTTTTAAAACTGATTTCCAGCCCTTGAAGTTACAGAAGGTCTTTACCTGCCACACAGGGGTATTTAGGAATTAGGAGATAGTTCATTGACTGTGACTTTCACAGTGCACTGACACCCAAACCCAGGCTGGTACACACAGCATTTAGTCCCAATTATCCACTCCAAGCGAGTTTAAACTGGCTTTTTAACCCTGACTTTGCATATTCTTCAAAGGGAAAACTACAAAGTGTATGTGCAGTCTAGGCTGTAATTTGTAGTGAGTTTGTCAGCCCCTCACTATTTTTGTAGACTCCAGAGATCACAGTCCATTCTGTTTGAAGTTTCTTTGACACCTTCCGTTGTTGCATCTTATCAGCTCCACACAAATGTTTTTCTACCTGCAGTTATTATCTCTGTAGTAGTCGTCTTTTGAAAAGACATGTTTTGGAATTAAGGGCCAAAAAATGTCCACAGTACTTTGGGATTCTGACCCTTGATCATGATACAGTTGAGGGGTAGAAATCCCACAATTAGCCAATTTAGCCACTTACAGGCTTCCAATGTGCAAGTCAACTTCCAATGACTTGTCTTTCATGGGATGGTGAGTCATCTGAGATTCTGTAAATTTCTGCCCAAGGTTTATTCAAAAGAATCAGATGAGACAATAAAGCCATTTTTTGACCTTTTTCATCTATCCGGAGATCAGTTATTTCCCAATGAAACATCAAATATTTTTGATTTTTCAGTGGTTTCATTTTTAGATTCTTTCTTACTGAACTGATTAGGGGACTGAGCATGGACTTTTCAAGTGAGATAGAATTTACATTACAATTTAGCTATTATTCACACCCACCTCAGTACAAGGGAAGCGCATTATTCTGCAAACACTTGGCATACATGGTTTTATTTTTCACGTGGTTCATCTTACAGGTAAGCCACAATATTTGAAACTGATCAGTGAATTGAGCCAAACATCTATAGAGGTGATTGTTATCCTGGAGTAACGAATTTGGCTGACCGCTGTGAGAGGATGAAAGCAGGAGACAATTGTGCAAGGGAACAGAAGTAATCATTCTTTGCAGTCTTTTTAATGGACCACTTTGTGACAAGGAGCTTCCAATTGTTCTATGCTCAATTTTCAAGTCAGTTTAAACCAAGTAAAACATATGGGCTAGATCTGACAATATATTCACATAATGGGGGCTCTCTTGTAGTGCAGTCGTCTTATGGGTTCAAGTCCCACCTGTCCAGAGGTGTGTATTAACATCTCTGAACAGGTTAATTAGTTAAAAAATGGGTATAGTCACATAAAGGATTGAGTGTCCATTCTGCCCATGAGCAAACTTATGTTGATAGTTTGCATTTTCCCAGAACTAAGCACAATGTTTGTAATTTTCTGTAAACGTAAATCAATACTTCATCCTATTTAATTTTAAATAAATATGCCTGTTGATATATAGGCCAGCTTTGATATGTCAGAATGTGTTAACCTTCCCACATTACTTTTGAGATTGCAGAGCAGGACTTCATTAATTCCATTAGTTCAGATTATTTGTGACGAAGATTATCTGCTCAATCTCTGGGGTTTGTGGATAGTGAAACACCCAAATTCATAGGATATACAAGGCCCGCTTAAAGAATGGTTATTAATGCTAAACCCAAGTATTAAAGCGTGATAAAGTCAAAAACAAGCAGTTCTTTAATCATGTGCTACTTTTTTATAATCTTCATCCTTTTGTCCTTTACCAATGACAATCAGCCTAACACCTGCATTACCTCACTATGAGCTATCATTTGATATGAATCATTATAATAATGTGCAACATAATCTCCTGGTCTAATTGGATGTGGAAGTACAGTGAGATCAATTGGTTGAACGGTTGGTTTGCAATGCAGAGTGATGCCTACCTCGTGGATTTGATTTCTGCTTTGGCTCAGGCGACGATGAAGGACTCTCCTTCTCAACTCACCTGAGGTTTGGTGACCCTCAGGTTAAACCACCACAAGTTGTCTCTCTGTAATGAGAGAACAGCCCCAGGATCCTTTGAGACTATGGCAACTTTACCTTTAATACAATACAGAAAAAGACTAAGGAAGAGTTTCAACTGGTGGCTTCCCACTTCTCATCCCAAAAGTGTGATTAGCTGTTCAAGGTATGTTGGGAACATTTGGTGCTCATTTACTGCCTGAATCAACTTTTAGCATATCTGCAAATTGGTGCCCAGTACCCACACCGAAATCAATCTGTTTAGTTACACAACTTGGGGATCATGGGTCTGCCATTGGACTGTTCTCAAATTTCAAAGGAAAAATAGGCATAACTTACATGTTACATATTGATCCTGCTTCTGTCAATGCTGAGTCGCATTTCCAACAATGATAAGATTTGTGTGATCTTTCATTTAAAAATATCTGTGGGACTAGGAGAGCACTCCTTCAGCTTGTGAATATCATTGGAGTGTCTCCAATACAACGCAGCCTCACTCCTTCCCAATGAAGGATAATCGTTGCACCTGCGAATGCTGTTCCCATATACTTAGTGAGTCCGAAACACAACCACATATACTGTCAGAAAGTACAGTAATTTGGTAAAATGTCCATGCATAAGTTTAGCTCTTCAGGACCTTTCAAGTCAGAAGGTTGTGGATTAAGCAGGTCACTTAAGCTGATACTTTAATGCAATATGAAGAGAGCACTGCATTGCAGGGAACTGCTGCCTTTCAAAGGATGCACTAAGGTAGAGGGCCTGTTCCAGTGAATGTGAAGGATCTCCTGTTACTATTTGAAGAGCAACAGGAAGTTTCATCAGTGCCCTTGCTAACATTTCTCCCCTAACCAACACCACAGAAAACTAAATAAAACCCAAAGAACTGCAGATGCTGGAAATCAGAAACAAAAACAGAAATTGCTGGAAAACCCCAGTAGGTCTAGCAGCATCTATGGAGAGAAATCAGAATTAACGTTTCGGATCCAGTGACCCAACAACCCTTCTGAGGAAGGATCACGGATCTGAAATATTGATTCTGATTGCTCTCCACAGATGCTGCCAGATGTGCTGAGCTTTTCCAGCATTTTCTGTTCTTGTACCGCAGAAAACTAACTCACACATTATTCATATATGTGGGTTACATCACATGCAAATTGCCTGTGTTTTTTTGCCAGTGGCTAAGAAATTCCAAGTTGCTGTTCAGACTTTTCAATGGGATTGGAGCAGAAACCTAAGTACACACATAAACAAAACTTCAGCTGTACATTCAGCAACATTTCTGAAGGGGTGAGGGCTCAGCTCCAAGAAATATAGGACAAGAGTCTCAGCATTTCGATAAATACCACATTGGGTATAAAGGGCTTCAAAGCATCATACAGACCTGTTACGTTTCAGTATAAATATAGATGCTTTCATACTGATTTGCTATTCCCTAAGTTGTTTACTTCAATAGGATTAAAGTCTTATGGATTAGGTAAGATGTATAGGGTTAATAAAAAAGTGCGGATGTTATTGCTGTGTTTCCTGCAGGCTGTACCGCAACAATCTGACAAGTGCATGCTGTCCAGATCTTGCGCAAGCCATCACTGTCAGTTCCGCATTAACACAACTCAACCTAAGCAGCAACAGTCTGCAAGATTTTGGAGTCACGTCACTCTTTGAAGCCCTGAAGAATCCACAGTGCAGGATACAGGAAATAAAGTAAGACTGATTTCAAAAGTACATTAAGATTAATTTTAAAACAGACTAAAGACTTTTTTTATTGCAAAAATATACTTTATTCATAGAAGGAAATATTTATGTACGTACACACTTAATGAAGCCATCCAGATCTATACTCTCTTTGCTTACAGAGAATAAAATAAATAGTGCTGTTCACCTTCCTCTGTATTTACAATTAATCTATTGGCATTTAGGTGTGGCATCAGTGGGGCCCAGTTGCTGAATTGATCCTCATTATGCTTTGGCAGAAGTACCTTACACTGTGGTCTTTCCCCACTGCTCCTTTGCAGCAGCTGTCCCAAACTTTACTGTGTCCCTCAGCATGTAGTCCCAGGCCTTGGAATGCCAGTCTGCAATACTCAGTCAGTGTCAATTCTTTCAACTGGAAGCCCAACAAGTTTTGGGCAGACCAAAGAGCATCTTTCACTGCGTTGATAGTCTCCAGGCACAGTTGATGTTTGGCCCGAGGAACAGTGTGTGTCCCGGGGAACAGACCATACAGCACAGAGTTCCTTGCATGATCTGCTCAGGACGAACCTTGACAAAAACCATTACATTTCCCTCCTGACTTCTTTTGCACAGGCACATCCCAGAAGGAGGTGGGTAACAATTTCGTCCCCACCACAGCTGCTTCAAGGGCAGTGTGAGGAGGCACAGAGAATCTGGGCATGCATGAAGGATCTCAGAGGCAGAGCCTTTCTCACCACCAGTCAAACAATGTCCTGATGTTTGTTGGAAAGTTCTGGTGATGAGGCATTCTACCAAATGACTTTGACAGTCTGCAGGGGAACCACTGGACAAGATCCACCTTCTCCTTTTCCTGAAGGGTCTTGAGGATGCTACGTGCTGACCACTGCCTGATGGACTTGTAGTCAAAGATGTTTTTCTTCACAAATTTCTCCACGAAGGACAGGTGATATGGAACCATCCAACTACTTGGAATGTTCTGAGGGACCAAGGCAAGGCTTCTTCTTTGCAACACTGGAGACAGTTAGAACCTCAGTAAGTAGTGACACTTGGTGTTTGAATACTGAGGATCTATGCACAGCTTGATGCAGCCACACACAAAAGTGGCTATCAGGGTGAGGGTAACATTGGGTATGTTTTTGTCCCCTTTGTCCAGTTCTTTATACATAATGTCCATTCGGACTCAGTCCATCTTCGACCTCCAAATGAAGTGAAAGATGGTCCGGGTAACTGCAGCAGCGCAGGTTCTGGGAATAGGCTAGACCTGCACCATGTACGACAACGCTGAGAGTACCTCCCACCTGATGACTAGGTTTTTACCCGCAATGGAGAGGGACTGATGCTCCCATCTGCCTAGTTTCTGCTTCACTTTGATGACATGTTCCTCCCAAGTTTTGGCGCACACCCCAGCCCCTCTGAATCGAATCCCCAGCACCTTCAGGTAGTCTGTCCTGATGGTAAAGGGGATAAAGCCCAGTTCCCAAACAGCATGGCCTCACTCTTGCCTTGATTTGTTTTGGCACCCGAGGCCAGTTCAAACTGGTCACAGATGCTCATGAGTCTGCTCACTGACAACAGATCTAAGCAGAAAATGATGACATCAACCATGTACAGGGAGGCTTTGACCTGCAGGCCTCCACTGCCTGGAATTGTCATCCCCCTCAGGCTCTCATCCTTCCTGATGGACTTGGCCAAAGGCTCTTTTCAACACATAAATAAGGCAGGAGAGAGTGGGCAGCCCTGCCTGATTCTCAGATCTGATGATTGGGAAACTTTTTGATTCCCACCCGTTGATTGAGACTGCATTAGCATGTTGGTGTAGAGCCGTTGGATCCAATTGCAGACACCCTCCCCAAAGCCCATTTTTGAGAGAATATCTCTCATATATGTGAGTGGTATCCTGTCAAAAGCCTTCTCCTGGTCCAGGTTGATGAGGCACGTGTCCACACCCCTGACCTGCACGTAGGCAATCATATCCCTGAGGAGCACAAGGCTCTCAGCGATCGTCCTGCCCCGTACAGCACAGGTTTAGTCAGGGTGAATTACCGATCGCACAGCAGACCTGACCCGGTTGTCGATGACCTTAGACGGGATTTTGTAATCCACATTCAATAGTGAAATTGGTCGCCAATTTCTAATCTCCTCCCTATCCCCCTTCTACTTGTAGACTAGGGTGATGATGCCTTTCCTCATGGATTTGCACATGGTACCTGCCAGAAGCATACTGTCATATACCTCCAGCAGGTCCTAGCCAATCAAATCCCACAGAACAGAATACAACTCAGCCAGTAGGCCATCACTTCCGGGAATTTTATTCTTTTCAAAGGACTCGAGGGCCTTTGTCAGCTCATCCAGAGGTAGCAGCTTGTCCATCCTCTCCCACATGCTGTCATCTAAGACCTCCGTGATAAGGGACAGGAATAACTAGGAGGTCGTGTTGTCTGTGGGCTTCGTGTCATATAGTCTGGCATAAAAAGATTTGCTGATCCTCACGATGTCAGACTGAAGCGACATTACCAAGCCATTTTCTTCCTTCAGGCTGCTGAGCACAATGGTCTCTTGGTGCACCTTCTGAAGAAGGAACAAGATCATGTATCATCTCACTTCACTGAATATTATCGTGGAGGTCTGCAAGGCGAAGAGCGATGCTTGCTGGCTGTTCACCTCCTGGAGATCCCCTGTGACATCAACCCCATTGTCTGCAGCAGGAGCAGGTTCTGCATACTTTTCTGGAGTTTTGACAGCTTTCCCCGCCTCTCTCTCACCTTCTGAACACCTTTGAGGATAAAGAATCTCTTGATGTTCCCTTTGGCTGTTTCCTGTCAGTCCACTGGAGACTCAAAGAGGGGTTTCATGGTTCTCCAACCTGTGTAATCCCTTTTGAGCTCCTCAATGTTTTCTGGGATCAACACCTTCACGTTTAGCTTCCACGTTGCCTTGCCAGCCCACTGCCCTTGCCATCCTGTAGGTGACAGTTGGCCAGCTGGAGGCAGTAGTCAGAGAAGAACATTGCTTTGACCTTGGTGGATCTGACCGAGAATGTTCAGGACTCAAACAGGAAATCTATCCTTGAGCGGATAGATTCTTCTGGTGTATCTACACTGCGCTCCATCTGCAGGAGTGCTGAAGATATCATGCACCTTGGTGTCTTTAGCCGTTTCCATCAGGAAGTTGGATGTAGCGTCCAGTTTACGGTCACCCCCCCAACCCTATTGTCCATCTGCATTGATGATGCAATTGAAGTCTCCGGCCATAATGACTGGCCTGGCAACACCAGCAGCAGAGGGAGCTGCTTCAGAACAGCCAACGTTCACTCTTACCGCTGGCGCGTAGACATTAATTAGTCTTAGGTGAGCATTCCTGTACATAACGTCTGCTACAAGGAGGTGCCCACCAACCACCTCCTTAACTTTGGAGATGGTGAAATTGCCTCCTCATAGCAGAATACCCAGGCCAGAACAGCGGCAATTGTTGTCCCCGACCAAATCGAAGACCGATGGATCCACAAGCTCAACCATCTCCTGTAGCTGCTGAGGTGTGGTCTCCCTCACTCCTGCAGAAACAGGAGATCTGCTTTAATGTTGGCCAAGTAAGCCAACGAGAAAACACATCGTACAGAAGATTTAATGCTATGCACACTAATACTTACGGTTTTTAAACCCATTTTAGATTTATACAATTGTTAAAACCCGAAATCCATTTACCCAAAGTCCTATCATTGGGGCAGTCCCTGCATCCCCATGGTGTGGGTGAACTATTGGACCCTCACAGGGCTGAGGCCATTTTCCAGTTCCTCCCTGGGGCATTTCCTCAGTCTGGTATCATCGGGGCAAGGATGAAGCCAGGGACATCCAGCTCAGAGTCTGACCAGGGAGTTGTTGTACCCTGCTCCTTCCTCTACACCTTGCTGCTCCCGGTTGCCCCGAGCTGTGGTGTGGAGGAACCCCCTTGATTCCCTACAGTAGAGGGCTAGATTTCGCCGGACCCCTCTGCCGTTTTCGGGTAAGGGGTTGCTCCTCTCCTTCTCCCTGGTTACCTTGATTCTCCTTTTCTGTTGGTGACCCTCCCTCCGTAAGTCCTCTTCATCAGAGGAGCTGCTACTGTGGCCTTCATGCGGCCTCCTCTTCCCGTTCTGTTGTTGTGGGCCTGATGGGGCCTGGCGAGGCTTTTTTTTTCTCAGTTTTGCTTGACTGTTTTCCACTCCCCCGACTCCTTCTTCACCTCCTCCTCCATTGACTCTGGATTTTCGGCTGAAGGTTGGGTCTGTTGTGCCGCTGTGCTGGCTTCCTGTCTCTCCTCTCCGGCCTGTCCCTACTTCTGTGTGACCCTCACTTCATTTTTCCTGCTGGAGGGGTGGAACCAAGACAGGATCCAAACCATCAAAACAAAAAAGGAAAAAAAAAACACACAACATAATGAAGGTAGATGCTATGATTTAAAGTTGTTGAACTTGATGTTGAGGCAAGAAGGCTGTAGAGTACCAGCTTGAAAGATACGATGCAGTACCCTGAGTTTGCATTAAGCTGTACTAGAACACTGTAGCAGTCTGTGGGAAGAAAGGCAGCATGGGAGGAAGACGGAGAATTAAAATGACAAACAAATGTGTTTGAACATATGAACATTTGAATCAGGAGCAGAAGCAGGCCATTTTGCCCCTTAAGCCCACTCCTTCATTCAGTAAGATTACTCCACGTTCCCATCTGTGGGCGGCATGATGGCTCACTGGTTAACACCACTGTGTCACAGTGCCAGGGACCTGGGTATAATTCCACTCTTGGGTAAATGTGTCTGTGTGTAGTTTGCACATTCTCTGTGTGTCTGTGTGGCTTTCCTCCTGGTGCTCAGTTTCCTCCCACAGTCCAAAGATGTGTAGGTTAGGTGGATTGGACATGCTAAATTGCCCATTGTGTCCAGGGATGTGTGGGTTAATTGGATTAGCCATGGGAACTGAAAAGTTACAGGGAGGGTGGGTCTGGATGGGATGCTGTTCAGGGAGCCAGTGTGAACCTGATGGCTGAATGGCCTGCTTCCAAACTGTAGGGATTCTATGATTCTACCCCTGGTAACCTTTCATGCCCTTGTTTATCTACCTCTGTCCTAAAAATATTTAGACTCTGCTTTTACCATCTTTTGAGAAAGAGGTTTCCAAAGATTCATGACCCTCTGTGAGAAAAAGTTTCTCCTCAACTTTGTCTGAAATTGGTGGCCTGTTACTTTGAATCAGTGACCCCAGTTCTAAATTTTCCCACAAGAGGAAACATCCTTTCAAAATCCACCCTGTTAAGACCAATATGTTTCAATCAAGTTGCCTCTGACTGTACTGATCTCCAGCAGGTACAAACCTATTCAACCTTTCCTCGTAAGACAAGCTATCCATTTTAGATATTAATCTAATCAACATTCTCTGAACTGCTTCCAAAATGTGTATGTTTTTCCTTAAATAGAGGCCTATGAATACACATTGTGTTATATTCCAAATATGGTCTCACCAATACCCTGTATAACTGAAGCACAGCTTCTATGAATTTGTATAAAACCTCCTGTGCAATAAACAACAACTGTCTACTGCTTTTCCTAATTATGTGATGTACCTGCATACTGGGGTTTGGTTAGCTCTGTTGGTTAGATGACAAGAGTGTGGTGCAGAATAAAGCCAATAGCTTGGGGTCAATTCCTGTACTGGCTGTGGAAGCCCATGAAGGCCTATGCCCTTACCTCCGGTTTGTGCGGTGGTTACCTTGCTGAACATAGCCAGTTGCCTCTAATGAAGAGAGAGGTCAATGGTATTTTGAGAACTACGGCTCATTACCTATGAACCTCTTACAATTCATGCCCTGGGACGCCCTGATCCTTCTGTATCTCAGAGCTGATAATCTTCACCATTTAGATAGTATACTTCTTTTTATTATTCCTGCTAAAATGGACAAATGTGCATTTTCCCACATTATACTCTTCTTGGCAGATCACTGCTCACTTATTTAACTTGTGTGTATCCTATTGTAGCTTTCTTACATTAGTCTAAGAAGGTGAAAGACAAACCATGGTTAACTAAGTAAGTTAAGGACAGCATTAAATTGAAAGAAAAAAAATCACACAATGAGGCAAAGATTGGCTTTAAACCAGATGATTGGGTAAGTTTTCAAAGCTAACAATAGAAATCATACAGTACATGAGGTTCTTTGGCCAAACAAACCAAATCCACCAAAGGTGCACTAAATCTACACTAGTCCCACTTTCCAGCACTAGGCCTATATTCTTGAATGTTATGACATTTCAAGTGTTCATCTAAATACTTCTTAAAGATTGTGAGTTACCTGCCTCAACTATCCGCTCAGTCAGTGCATTCCAGAACCCCTGCACCCTCTGGGTGAAATAAACATTTCTTTAAATCCCCTCTAAATCTTCTGTCTTTCACCTTAAAATTATGCCTCCTGTTATTGACCCTTCAACTAAGGGGAACAGGTGCTTTCTATTTACCCTTTCCATGCCTCTCATAATCTTATACATCTATATTAGGTCCCCCTCAGACTTCTCAGCTCCAAAGAAAGCAACCTGAGCTTGGCCAACCTTTCTTCATAGCTAAAGTTGCACCAGGCAATATCCTGGTGAATCTCCTCTGCACCTCTTCCAGTGTAATCACATTCTTCCTACAGTGCAGAGACTAGAACTGCACAGATCAGAACTGCATACAGTACTCAGTTGTGGCCTAACCAAAGTCCTATAAAGATGCAACATAACCTCCCTCCTCTTAGGATCTATGCCTCAACTGATAAAAGCAAATGTCCCATATGCCTATCCCATTTGTCTATTAATCTGTCCTGCCACAGGATCCCTCTGTTCCTCTGATCTTCCTTGTTTTTTGACATTCATTGAGTATTCCCTTGTCTTGTTACTTCTTCCAACCTGCATCACTTCACTTTATCAGTCTTAAATTCCACCCACACTGATCTGCTCATCTTACCAATCTGTTGACATCCTTCTGTAACCAAAGACCGTCCTCCTCCCTGTCAGTCACCTAGCCAATATTTGTGTCATGTGCAAACACACACACATCTTTTTCATCTGCATTGTTTATATATATCACAAACAATAAGTGACCCAGCCTGAGTCCCGTGGTAAATCATCAACATTGGCCTCCATAATGCAAATAGCCTTTGTCTGTGACCCTCTATCACCTCCCACTAAGCCAGTTTTGGATCCAAATTACCTTGGATTCCATGTGCTTTTACCCTCTTTATCAGTCTCCCATTGGGGCATTGTCAAAGGCTGTGCTGAAATTCATGTAAACTACATCAACTGCACTACCCTCAGACGATTCCTGTGGCTGGCCTGTCATGGTTAAGTTCCTGACTGCATGTGCTCAGGGGCTACTTTGGTGTCATGGATAATCACTCCAATGTCTGGATTTGGTAATATTTAGACCTTCTTTAGATCGGCTAAGATAGTGTGGTTTGCAATCCAGACCAAAAACTTTTACTGGATGGTTAGTCACTGTGTGTTTCTGTTTGCTTCCCTCAGCTTAAAAAACTGTGATTTGACCGCTGCCTGTGGTGAGGATATTCTGTCTGTCCTGAGAGTGACACATTCACTCACACAGCTGAACCTGTCAACAAACAAGCTGGGGGGATTAAAAGGCAAATTGAAATGCAAACAATTGAAATGCAAACTCCATCTATAGAGAACAAAACAGGTACTTGTTTCTCTTTTTATTTAATTTCATTTTCTGTATCATTTTCCTGGTTTCGAACTATGTTCTGGTCTGGACAGTATGGCCTGCGACACTGAACGCTCCGTGCCTGCTATAGTCACCAGGGTCTGGAAACACTCACTGCCCACTCACAATCTCCTACTAATGTACTTTACATTAAGTGTAGTCCTTGTGTAGGAGTGATGTGAAGTAGAAGGCTTATTATATAAAGAGTAATGGTTAGAAGTAGTATTTTGTAATAACAAGTGATTATGTGCTGCAGTTTACGTTTGAAGCCGTGCAGTAAGACATGTCTTCTCAACCGAACAGGGACAATATGATGCAAAGCTGTTGGGTGTCCTGTTCACTTATCTTATGAATCCCAGTTAACTATGTCTACAGATGTCTTCCATCCTCTCCCTGGAAAAGAACTGAGCAATGCTGTAACATTCTGAGGCATCTGCCAGATCAAGTTCACATACATGGCTGGTCACAGCTGGAAATGCAGAGCTAAATGGGCCAACAATGGCCAAAGGTGATGGCTCAAGGTGATTTCTATTAATTGATTGTGGTGCTCTATATTACAACGTGACCAAATTTCAAAAAGTACTTAATTGGCTGTAACTCATTTTAGTATTACCTGAGAACATGAAATGTGATTATGTAACTTAAGTTCTTTCTTTCTTAGTTTTGCTCTCATGATCTGTTTTCTGCACATCAACTCTTTGACCAAAAAGAACAGAAGAACATAACAATAGATGTATGGTGCCATGAATGCATATTGTCTTTAAAATGTATGTTATTTATATTATGTATTTGAATGTCTATTCTATAAATGAATGTAAATTTGTGCTGTGAATAGGGTTAAGTGTGCATTGCAAATATCACTTTAAATTGTGTGATAAAAAATAAGCTGTGTGTGAAAATTTATATCATGTACGTAAATTTTCAGTATATCATGCACGTGAATCTGAACTGTACACTGGAATGTACACTTGATGATAATTTATAGTTTGTGTAATAAGTATACAATGTATGATAATTTGCAGTGTGAATTAGACTGTCTTGATTAATACTGATAATGTATAGTTTACTTACTGAGTAAGTTTTATACTTTTATATCTCTATACTTTTAGTTTCTTTGTGCTTTGACATTAGTTTTTTGTATGGCTATCCACAAGGTCACTGTTTAGCATTGAAACCTCTCTTTGTAGAGCTGTCAAGGTATCTTTTTCTCTTTATTCTTTCATGCAATGTAATTGCCCTTGACCTGAGCGGCTTGTTAGGCCATTTCAGAGATCAATTAAGTCAACTACGTTGCTGTGAATCTGGAGTAACAAGTTGGCAGTTCGAATAAGGACAGCAGATTTAATTCCCTAAATGACATTAGTGAACCTAATGGGTCTCAGAACAGTCAGTGATAATTTCATGGTCACCACTGAGACAAGTTTTCAATTTTTTTCTGTGCACTCATGGGACGTGGGCATCTCTGGCTAGGCCAGCATTTATTGCCCATCTCTACTTGCCAAGAGGGCAGTTAAGAGTCAACTGCATTGCTGTGGGACTGGAGTCACATGTAGTCCAGACCAGATCAGGATGACAGTTTCCTTCCCTAAATGCCATCCAGATGGATTGTTCCTATAATTGACAATTGATTCATGGTCATTATTAGACTCTTAATCCCAGATTTATTAATTACATTTGAATTCCACCAGATGCAGTGATGGGATTTGAAACTATCCTCAATGAATTCACCTTGGGCTCTGGATTACTATGGAGAGAAATAGAGTTAACATTTTAAGTTCAAGATGAGACAAAGAGTTTGGGAAAGCTCTCCATTGGTATGAGTCATAGCTAGTGCAAAGGAAGGTGATTGTCATTGTTGGAGGTCAATCATCTCAATCCTAGGACATCATTTCTCTAGAGTCTCAGAGAATGCCCCAGGCCCAACCATCTTCATGTTTCTTCATTAACGATCTTCTGCCTGTCATAAAGTTAGAGAGGGAAGTGCAGATGTGTTTTGATGATTACACAATGTTCAATGTCACCATCTCCAATTGTGTTTGCAGCTATCTCAAAACTAAAAGTAATTAAAAGTCTGTTTCTCTCAATACTACATGTAAATGGTAGCTATTCAAAGAATGTTTGCATTTGCATTAAATGCTTTGCTTTTTTCTATTGATCTTTCTGGAATCACAATTCACAATCCTGTCATTGCAGCTACCCCTCAATTCAACAACATCTGCTCAGGACCACGGATTTCTGCCATGGGTCTTCATGCATATATTGGGGAAGTCAGCTGTCCCCTGACTTCTGTGGGGGTATATATTGCACAGGCAGGATAGCAGCGGTCAGCCCAGCACTGATCCCCACAATCACCATGGTGGCTTATAGCCAGCTCCAGCATAGCCCCCAGTAGGTGGCAGTGATGGTGGAGGGTGCAAACTTGTGCACTGAAGGTTACTTGGGAATTTTTGGGTGCTGAGGACAGGCTCAGAGATGGGGGTCAAGTTTCATACCTGAAATGCATGGCAACAATGAGTTAACCAGCTTCCAACAGCTGTGTTTGTTTTGAAGCTGAACTCTCAATTGTTTAGTTGGCTTTTTGAAGCTAGGGCATCTGTTTTGAAAAGCCCTAGAGAAGTATTGGTATGAAGGGGGAGATCCTAAATGGTCTTGTGAAGAAAAATATTATCTTGTTTGAGTTCTTTTTTAAGAAATTTTAAAATGGCTGCTATCAACTACAGAATGCTTCTAGAAAATAGCAGCAATTACCAAAACAAAAACAAACTCATTATCTCTTGATTCAGAGATAGTAGGAACTGCAGATGCTGGAGAATCTGAGATAACAAGGTGTAGAGCTGGATGAACACAGCAGGCCAAGCAGCATCAGAGGAGCAGGAA